TGAGATTTCATGCTGTTCTGTAACAGATCTGCATTATCTATCTATTATTGCTATTAGGTGATGACAGTGTGCTTAATCCTGTTGCAATATAGCACAGGAACCTCAACAGAGAGGCAATTAAGTGTCACATATGGCATAGCTTGCCACCAGCAAAGCCCTAGAGCGATTTTCTATTTAAAAGCAAAACAAATTGACATAAATAGAGCTTTTAAAAATGAGAACATACAGAAGTCAGTAAGGTTGCCAAATCTGCAAATTGCCATCATAGCTATGTCTTTAAGAACAACATGATGTGAGGCAGATATTAGTGATAGATAGATGATAGATAGATAGATAGAGGTTTATCACACAGGAGGAAATTAGGAGTTTAAACAGTAATTAACCCATGAAAATCACACAATTGACATTGAAACACGATTAAAATGAGATTAACATGGGAGCCATTATCCCATGAATAACCAGGGAATAACCAGGCAATAAAGAGCAAAAAGTCATTCACAGAAAATTCCTGTGAATTATTTGCTGCTGTTTCTTGCCTGGTTATTCACAGGATAATAGCACTTTAATCATGTTTCATCTCGACGTTGTGAGAAAACCATTAGCACAATTGCAGGATTATCACAGGTTATTCATGGAATAATGGCACTTTGAACACAATGTCATATGAAAACCATTAGCGCAACTGTGGGATTATCACGGGCTAATCACCGTTTATACTTCCAATTGTCCCCCGTGTGATAAACTCCATAGAGTGGTTTGAGTGTTGGATTAAGGCACTGGGAAACTAGAGTTCAAAAGCCATGGTAAACCACTAGCTGAGCATGGGCAAGTAACCATAAGGCGAACTTATCATAGAGTTTTTATGGCAGGTTTCTTTAAAAGGGGGTTCAGGTGAGCCATATTGTCCTCACCTATCTGCCAACCAAACCATCTTTCTCAGAAAGTTGGCTCATGCTCTCTTTTTGCCATTACAGCCAAGAACTTGAAGGCATTGTCTTTTTGGATGACAACTCTCAAAATTCCCAAGCCATCACAGCTATGGTGGCCAGGGGATTATAGGAAATGTCATCCAACTGCTGAGCTGCACTATAAAGCAAAACATGGAAAGTTACATTTAAGATGGATAGCTGTAAAGAAAGGCTTATAGTATTTGTAATAGAGCAAGGGTAGGGTGATGACCTGAGACCCCCGCTCAACTATGGAAGGCTTCAGCATATCCTTACAGTCAGTAATGTTCCAAACCATGCAAGGAGAGAAAGAAGCAGGTGGAACTGAAGAGGACTCAGCAGAAGAGAGAATGGAAATATACTCTCTGTTTATTTTTTGTTGCCCTTTCAAACCCAAGGTTTCTGCTGCTTCTACAGGATGTCTCATGTTCAGATTGACAGGTTAGGACTATCACAGGCTTTGAGATTTCAGGCCCCAAACCTGAGACTTAGGAGCTTGTGATGCTATCACAGGATGTGGGCCTTGATGATGTTACAAGGGTGATGTTATGACATCTATAACAAATTACCTGTACATTATAAAAAATTATCCATAGATTATCCTGTATGGATGTAAGAGTTGGACAGTAAAGAAAGTGGATAAGGAGAAAATTAATTAATATGAGATGTGGTGTTAGAGAAGACTACTGAGGATAGTGTGGATGGCCAAAAAGACAAACAAATGGGTCCTAGAACAGATCAAGCCTGAAATCTCTCTGGAAGCCAAGATGAGGCTGTCATAGGACGTTATCACACGTGGCCCAGAAACTGAAAATAAAGTG